AACCCAGTCAGTTGGGTGAGGTATAAATAATAAAAATGTTGTTGTTGTTGTTGTTGTTGTTATGTTGTACTGCTCTGAGTTGCTCAGATCCAGGAGCTTTCCCTATAGGCTCCTCCTATTGCTCCTCCTATCTGCTCCCCTGAACCTAAGGGCTGCCTCTTATGTAGCCACACTGCACGGAGGGACACGTTCCCAGCCTGTCATCGCCACTGCCCTACACTTCCGGGATGACCATCTTTACATCCTCGAGGACGATTTGGAGCAAAGACACAGAGAGGTGTCTCCTGGGGGAGCGTATGGCCTATGAAGGGTTCTGAGGACCTGATGGAAGGGCTTGGACTTGCCCTTTCACTAGCACAGCAGTGCTTTCATTCCTGGTCACCCAGATGTCTCCAGGAAACCCACAAGCAGCCTTACCAGGAGATGCCAGTGTGCTTTCTTCTGTGAAGCAGATGTTCTGCTCTATCACCAAGCCACAGCGCTTCAATAGGACTCCAGCCCCACCTCAAACCCTGGCATATTCCCTTTGCCCCCCTCAGTGCAGTGTTCATCTGTTCTGGACTCTGGTGTGTGTGCGTGTGTTTTATGTGAAACTCCGGCAGCTTGCTGGAGGCTGGCGCTGAGCTCTGTTTATCTGAAGAGGTGACCTTGATCACCGAGAGCCCAGGGTTAATGCTTTAAAATACCATAATTATTGTTATTATAATGATAGCCGTTTACTCGGTGCTTTACAGGCAAGCATTAAGGGAGGAGGTTTGGGAAGGTCGTTGCACTAAAGAGCTTGCAATCTAAATGACTCTGAATAGGACAAAATTATCGGCTTTATCGAACACGTCCCTCTTGGGCGGGTGGGTGTCTGAAAATAATTGCTGTGTGCTTGAGGAGGGAGCTTGCGGAGCCAGCGGCTGTGTGAATTAAGTGCGTCAGCGCGGTGGCTTTCCCCAAACAGACCCTGGAGGAGAAGCTCGTGGTCTGAAGCAGTAGCCAGGGACAGGAGATGTAGAGGAGATGTCCTTCCACCTTTTCAAGTCTCATGGATTACACCACGTTCATGGGACCTTTGCCTCTGATAGGGTAAACCTATGCATATCTGCTCAGAACACAGTCCCAGCAAGGCCACCAACGTAGTGTCAAACTCAGAATAGCAAGGCCGAGTCATGGTAGGCACAGCCACGCCCACTCACAGCTACACCTCCTGCAAAGATGAGTCAACTTTCTATTAGCTATGATGAAGGTGCTCTGCGTCTACGACTGGAGGCCGTAATGCCAATTGCTGGAAACCACAGGAGAGGAAAGGGCTCTTGTGTTTGGGTCCTGTTTGCGGGTTTCCCACAGGCATCTGTTTGGCCGCTGTGAGAACAGGGTATTGGACGAGGTGGGCCACTGGCCTGATTCAGCAGGGCTTTTCTTATATTCTAAAATAATATTAATCTTATGTTGTTTAGTCGTTTAGTCGTGTCTGACTCTTCGTGACCCCATGGACCAGAGCATGCCAGGCACTCCTGTTTTCCACTGCCTCCTCCAGTTTGGTCAAACTCATGCTGGTAGCTTCGAGAACACTATCCAACCATCTCGTCCTCTGTCGTCCCCTTCTCCTTGTGCCCGCCATCTTTCCCAACATCAGGGTCTTTTCCAGGGAGTCTTCTCTTCTCATGAGGTGGCCAAAGTATTGGAGCCTCAGCTTCATGATCTGTCCTTCCAGTGAGCACTCAGGGCTGATTTCCTTCAGAATGGAGAGGTTTGATCTTCTTGCAGTCCATGGGACTCTCAAGAGTCTCCTCCAGCACCATAATTCAAAAGCATCAATTCTTTGGCGATCAGCCTTCTTTATGGTCCAGCTCTCACTTCCATACATCACTACTGGGAAAACCATAGCTTTAACAATATGGACCTTTGTCGGCAAGGTGATGTCTCTGCTATAACTATGCAGTAGTAATAATTAGGGATGCATTGCAACAATTTGGCTAGACCAGTAGTTCCCAACCTTCTTTTGGCCATGCCCCACCTAAGCATCTCTGAAATCCTGATGCACGCCCCCCCGACATATAATTCAAAAAGTGAACTCTTATTCACGTGGAGGAAGCCTCAAAGGCCATTAACTTGGTCTAACTCAGGCATAGGCAATCTCCAGTCCTCCAGATGTTTGGGACTACAATTCCCATAATCCCTAGCTAACAGGACCAGTGGTCAGGGATGAGGGGAATTGTAGTCCCAAACATCTGGAGGACTGGAGTTTGCCTATGCCTGGTCTAACTCATTCTTGAATTTCCCCCTTAAAAATCAAATTGCCCCCCTGTGGGGCTACCTTCTTTCGGAGTGAGTTAAGTTGTGCTTTCGTTGAAGTTCTGTTGCACATAATTTTCTTTTTTATGACAGATGGTTATGTACTCCATTTTCTTGAAAGGGAGCCTCTTTGTGTTTTTGGGGTTCCTAACTGCTTAGCTTTGGAGCACACAGGACAACTCCTCCTTGGGGATTCTTCCCACACACCTTCCCCAGATTGGTCCCAGGAGCCAACCCTCAGTGGCTGATTCTCCTCCTTTCACTCTGATTGGCTCCCATCTGCACAAAGGGTAAGAAGGCTTCTTCTCAGTGGTTAAAAGAAGCTCCCCTTTCATGCTGATTGGGCAGTTCTAGGCTGCTAGAGTCTGGGACTCTGCTGCAGAAATAGTAAAGGGTCTTTGAGCCCCACCCCAACCCTGCTTTTGGGTATGTGGATATAGGATTGCAGCTTAGGTTACCAGTTGCTGAGAAGGAATTGCTTTCACGACCTGCTTCTTTTTGCAACATTCAGCTTCGTTGGATGCAATCAATTTCTAATATTATCAGAGAAGGGAGAAGTCCTACATACACTGTGCATAATTTTATATACCCAATGCTTTCGCTCTTAAGCAGTTAAAATAGGCAGAATGAGTGTCTGCCTCCCAAGGGGAAAATCCATACGTCTGCACCGTTAATATTTCTCTTTGACACGGGTGATTTATTACATAGAGGCCAAAGAAAGGAATTCCCCTCTTTCTTCCTCTCTGCCGGAATATCATAATGAAATTTCCTCTGCAAGTCATATCTGTACATATTTCATTATTTCCGTGACATCCATTCAATGTAAAATGCCAATTTCCCCTAGAAGTAACTGTTAATTTGAAAGCATCAATATTTCCTGGATTTGTATGCACTTCCTGATTTAGGAAAGCCGGGGGAGGCTGCCTGTTACTTCTTAGAAAGTTGGAATAATAATAATAATAATAATAATAATAATAATAATAATAATAATTGCATTACTCTCCCTTCACCATATGGTCCCAGGGTGCGTTATAGCAATTTAAAATGAACACAATTCATGCTAAATCAAACCAATGTATTGTCCACATTGACTAGCAGGATTTCAGGCAATGAGTCTGACCTGGAAATTACAAGGATTGAACCTGGGACCTTCTGCATCCAAAGCAGACCATAATTGGCCCAAGGTCACCCAGTAAGCATTGCCAAGTGGGGATTCGAACCCTGATCTCCCAGCTCCTAGTCTGGTACTCTAATCACTAGGCCACACTGGCTCTTCATAAGAATGCAACCTCCAATCTCGGCTGCTCCCAGGAAATGGATCATTAATAGCTTAAATGTGAGCTGAATCAAATTTCCCCTCTACCCATAGCCTGGGTCAGCATGGCTGATGGTCAGGGCTGATGACTGGTGCTTATTTCTTTGCAGAACAGCCCTAACTGGAGGGCACCGAGTTGGCTACCCCTGCTACAGACAAGGGCCCATGCCGCAGTGTCCAAAGGCGCCACTGCTGTGCAAAGCTCTCCCCGGAGCTTGCCAAGGTCAGACCCCGAACATCTCTGCCTTTCCTCCCCCTGCCCCTCGTGTGTCTCTCGGCACAGATGCTCCACTGTTCTGACAAGCTGGCTGTACATCACCCAGATAAAAGGCTCCGATTACTCCCCCCCCCCCGCCGCCTTCCTCCCTTTCTTAGAAGAGCTGTCACAGGTGAGATTCTGCAGGTTTCTGAAGGCAGGTGAATTACAGAGTCAAATGTGACTCCGGGGCAAGATTCCGGGGCTTGGAGGGGAAGGGACCAGGGCCTGTGTGGAGCTCCTCTTGGAAAGGTTTGAGAAAAGAATAAGAATAAGAATAAGAAGACAACGCCCCCAGGATTACAACTTAATAGCAGTTCTGGCTTCTGGACAGTGCTAAGAAATCCCTTTTTGCCCAGTGAGTTATGCGTGCATTTAACTTCTGCTCTTAAAGAGTCGGTATCGATTCTCTCGCAGCATAAATAGAACGGCAATTTAAACACACACAGAGTTATGCATGCATTTAACAGGTTGGGGAAGTTTCAAACTGATCTGGGGATGTTTGTGGAATGTGTGTAGTTGGGGTATTTCTTTGGCGTGTGTGTGTGTGTGTGTCTCCAAGTTCTTCACCGTCGGAGACAGTATGTATGCCTCTGTCTCCAACAGAAGGTGGGGTAGAAATGCAATAAGATGAATAAAATAAAATATATTGACATATTTTGAAGTAGTGATATCTGATTTTAGGGCCATCGGTATGTGTATACAGTGGTACCTCGGGTTACATACACTTCAGGTTACATACGCTTCAGGTTACAGACACTGCTAACCCAGAAATAGTACCTCGGGTTAAGAACTTTGCTTCAGAATGAGAACAGAAATTGTGCTCCAGCGGCGTGGCGGCAGCGGGAGGCCCCATTAGCTAAAGTGGTGCTTCAGGTGAAGAACAGTTTCAGGTTAAGAACGGACCTCCAGAACGAATTAAGTACTTAACCCGAGGTACCACTGTATAGTGCATCTCTAACCAGAAGGACAAAACCTCTCCTGGCATCTGTCTGTCTGTCTATCACATTCATAGCTCATCTTTCCTCCAGTGAGCTGACATGCATATATCTCCTCCTCATTCTATCTTCAAAACAACCCTATCAGGCTGAGAATGAGTGACTGCCCCTGGTCACCCATTGAGTTTCATGCCTGAGCATGGGAAAGGCTGTAGCTTACTGGCAGAACATCTGCTTTACATGCAGGAGACCCCAGTTTTGAACCCTGGCATCTCCAGGGAGAGACCTCTGCCTGAAACCCGGGAGAGCCTCTGCCAGTCAGTGTAGACAATAATGAGCTAGATGGGCTCAGTCTTAAAGCAGCTTCCAGTGTTCCTGTGATTTGGTCTCCCAGGTCCTAGCCTGATTCTCTAGCATAGCAGAAGGTGGAGTAGAACCTAAGACGGAGTGGGCAACCTCAGGACCAGGAGCTGAACGTGGTCCTCCAGGTCTCTCTACCTGACCCGTGGCCCTCTCCCTAGACCACACCTCCTCCCAGGCCACTCCTTCTTTTCCAAGGCCACTCCCAGCAATTGCGATGGTCTGCCCCCTCTCCAAGTTCTGCTGTGGTCCAGAGCAGAGGTCCCAGCAGGTATCTCCACTGACCGTGGATTTCAGCAGGTGTCTCCATCAACCACAGACTCCAGCGGCTGCCCAAGGATGTTGTGTGTTGGCTCTGGGCCTGGTTGTTGCAAATGTGAAACACTGGGATGTGTGTTTTTCCAGTTCTTTCTGATCTCTGCTCCTCATGTTATGGAGATTTGCAACTCTGCGTTGTTGTTGTTGTTTTAGATTCGGGGTGGAGGCTCCCGCTCAAACTCTCCGGTGGTGACGCTCAGAAGGGGCATCTGTTTTCGGACTGGCGAGGCAGGGCCCCACAGAAAGGCCTGTCCCTGACCCCCTCTGCCCTGCCTTGTTCTGATCTTTATTGGGCTGTCTGCTGGGGAGCATCAAAGGTAAGAGGGGCCGGCGATTTGTCCTACGACAGCTCTATAAAAAATATAATTGCCCAGTAACCTTTCTGTCTGCGAAATAAACCATCTTCCTGTTTCTTCTCTCATAAAGGCTAATCGACAAGGCCATTTCGCCGGCTTATTTAGGATTATAAACCCGGAGAGAGTGACCTTAGCCTTAAACTCTCTACCTCTCTCCGGGAAAGCGAGATAGGCACAGAAATCTTGCTCTGCTTCTTTGCAAGCTTGCCGTAAGAGGCAACATGGCTGATGGCAACAGGAAGGCCCATAATCTGCTGCTCTCTCTTCCAGCACCAACAGAAAACAGCAAACAGCTTTGGGAATTTGGGGCCACAGAAAACCAACCCTGCTGAGTTCTGCTGAAGTCCACCTTTGCGGGTTTTGTTAGAGATGCACATATTTCCACCTTTCCTAGTCATGATGGTCATGTTCTTCCTCCTCTGTCAGGAGCAGTATGGCTCTGAATATGTGTTGTTGCTCTCACAAGCGTGGAGAGTTGCTGTAGCACTCAGGTTAAACTATGGAACTCACTGCCACAGGACGCAGTGATAGCCACCATCTTGGATGCCAACTTGGATGCCTTTGGACAAATTCATGGAGGAGAAAGCTATCGATGGCTGCCAGCCATGATGGCAATGCTTTGCCTCCATGGCTGGAGGCAGCAATGCTTCTGAATAATAATAATAATAATAATAATAATAATAATAATAAAATATTTATTTATTTATACCCCACCCTCCCCGGCCAGAGCTGGGCTCAGGGCGGCTAACACCAGTAAAATTACAAATTAAAAAATAAACCAATTTAAAATACAGGTTAAAATAGAATTTAAAATGCAGCCTCATTTTAATAGTAGCCCATTGATCAAAACCATAAGGGGAGGGGAACATAAAGGTCAGACTGAGTCCAAACCAAAGGCCAGGCGGAACAGCTCTGTCTTGCAGGCCCTGTGGAAAGATGTCAAGTCCCGCAGGGCCCTAGTCTCTGTCTCAAGAGCGTTCCATCAAGTCGGGGCCAGTACTGAAAAGGTCCTGGCCCTAGTTGAGACCAATCTCACTACCTTGCGACTTGGGACCTCCAAGGTGTTGTCATTTGTGGACCTTAAGGTCCTCCACGGGGCATACCAGGAGAGGCTGTCCCGTAGGTACGTGGACCGCTAAATACCAGTTTTTAGAAACCACAGGCAAGGGAGTGCTCTTGGGCTTGGGTACCCACAGATATCTGCATTAGATGGGGTTGATCCAGCTGACTCTACTTAGGTTCTCATAACATAAGTATTCCGCTCTCAGGTCCTGCTTGTGAGCTTTCCATAGGTACACCTGGTTGGGAAAAATGATACAGTAGATGGGCCTTTGGTCTGATCCAGCAGGTGGGAGAAAAGGGTGGGAACAACGAAGAAACAGAATAGAAATAAAACCCTGGAAATACATTATCCCCTGGAAAGTTTCTTTGCAAGACCGCATCAAGAAATGCAAAACTGCATCCAGAAATCTGTACACAAGGAGAAATTCACACTAAAGTCCTGATGGATTTTTAGGACATTTAAATAAAAATGCAAATTGATGTGGAAATGTGGAGAACAGGACTTAAAACTGGGGAAAAGATGAGGAGAGAGAAAGTGAAATCGACAGATTTGCTCACGTTCAAGAGAGCCTGTGCCCTTTCTTGATGCGGAGGTTCAAAAGTGCTTTCCCCCCTGCGATCCAAGATGCTTTCAAAACAAATGAGTTTATTAAGGCACCCGATTTGGCAGCAAGGAATAATACTGAGACTGGCCATGGGAAGGGGGGGGGGGGGAGGGATGGCAGAGGACATGAGCAACCCTCTCTCCAGCCTTCTGAAGCAAGCAATGTTTATTTAAAACACTTGTCTCTTGAGACAGATGGGGAAAAAATAATTAAACCTTCTATTAAACGCTCTTCAGACTGCCAGGGACTCAATTAACATGACCACTAAAAACTTCATCAGAAAAAAAGAGGGACGAGCAGGTCAGGAAGCCACTTAAGGAGGTGTTTGGACGGCAGACCAGACCTTTATTTTATATTTTGCTGAAGGCTCTGTTGTTGTTGTTTTTTAAATGACAAGACAATGAGCTGAAAGGAGCCATTTTATTTTTTCTTTTAGCAATGAGCCCAGGATTGGATTTAAGAGCAGAAGAAGAGCCTGCAGGACCAGGCAAATGGCCCATCTAGACCCTCATCGTGTTCTCACAGTGGCCAACCAGATCCACAAGTAGGATTTGATCACAAGACCCCTTCTGTGGTTTCCACCAACTGGGATTCAGAAGTATTCCTGCCTCTGCCTGTGGAGGCAGAATGCAGTCGTACCTTGATTCTCAAACGTCTCGTGACTCAAATGTTTTGGCTCCTGAACACCGCAGACCCGAGAATGTTCCTGTTTGCGAATGTTTTTTGGAAGCCAAACGTCTGATGCAGTTTCCGAAGCTTCCAACTGAGTGCAGGAAACTACAGTGGTACCTCAGGTTACATACGCTTCAGGTTACAGATTCCACTAACCCAGAAATAGTACCTCGGGTTAAGAACTTTGCTTCAGGATGAGAACAGAAATCGTGCGGTGGCGGCGTGGCAGCAGCGGGAGGCCCCATTAGCTAAAGTGGTGCTTCAGGTTAAGAACAGTTTCAGGTTAAGAACGGACCTCCGGAACGAATTAAGTACTTAACCCGAGGTACCACTGTACAACTAATCCAGAATGCGGCAGCTAGACTGGTGACTGGGAGTGGCCACTGAGACCATATAACACTGGCCTTGAAAGACCTACATTGACTCCTGGTACGTTTCCGAGCACAATTCAAAGTGTTGGTGCTGACCTTTAAAGCCCTAAACGGCCTCAGTCCAGTATACCTGAAGGAGCGTCTCCACCCCCATCGTCCTGCCGAGGCAATGAGGTCCAGTGCTGAGGGCCTTCTGGCGGTTCCCTCACTGCGAGAATCGAGGTTACAGGGAACCAGGCAGAGGGCCTTCTCGGTAGTGGCACCCGCCCTGTGGAACGCCCTCCCACCAGATGTCAAAGAGAAAAACAACTACCAGACTTTTAGAAGACATCTGAAGGCAGCCCTGTTTAGGGAAGCTTTTAATGTTTGATGTATTACGGTATTTTAATATTTTGTTGGAAGCCGCCCAGAGTGGCTGGGGAAGCCCAGCCAGATGGGCGGGGTATAAATAATAAACTATTATTATTAATCGGAAGCTGCACTTTGCTTTTCGAACATTTTCAGAAGTTGAGCAGGCTTCCGGAACAGATTCCGTTTGAGAACCAAGGTACAACTGTATAGCCATTGCGGCTACTAGCCAATGATAGCTGTCTCCTCCATGAATTTGTCTAATCCTCTTTTAAAGCCATCCTCGTTGGTGGCCATCATCACTGCCTCCTGTGGGAGGGAGTTCCAAAGTTTAATTCTGCACTGCATGAAGAAGCCCTTTCCTTCAACTGTCCTGAATCTTCCAACATTCAGCGTCACTGGATGTTCAAAAGCTGTAGTGTTGGGAGATCATGCTCATGTGATCGAATCCTGCTTGCTGGTTCCCTACAGACATCTAGTTGGCCACTGTGAGAACAGGATGCTGGAATCAATGGGCCATTGGCCTGATCCTGGAGGCTCTTTTTACGTCTTATCACCAGATTAGCAACAATCACACATTCATCTCAGCGTTTCCAACTTGTTCAATGGAAGGTGGTGTGTTTCAAAATAGCTCGAGTGTTTTCATTGATCCAGAATTTTTTAACAGGAGCTTTGTGCTGTTTGCCTCTTGCTCCCTTACTGAACACTGCCAGCTTCTGGTTTGTTTCCAGGGTCCGTTCAAAATGCTGGTTAGGACTTTCAGGGCCTTAATGGATGAGACCAAGGATGCTTTTACGAACAAGGTTTCGTGCCTGACATTCATCGGTGCTGATGCCACGGCAGGGTACAACACAGAATTAATTAACGTATTTTTCGCTCTATAGGACGCACCAGATGATAAGACGCACCTAGTTTGGGGGGGAGGAAAACAAGAAAAGAAATATTTTGAATCCCAGAAGCCAGAACAGCAAGAGGGATTTGGCTTCTGGGATACCGTGTGGCTGTTCTGGTTTCTGGAATAACCGCGCCAAGCCTCTTCAGGGCAGCGGGATGAAGGCTCCCCCTGCCCGAAGAGGCTGTGCACGGCTAAGGCAGAAGCCAGTGCAGGCGCATCGCAGGAGAGGTGCTGCGCAGAGAGGGAGAACTGTGCAGCGCCCCTTCAAGCGAAACTGGAGAAGGAACAGA